AAAAGCAAGACCTATGTATGATACTTTTATAATACTTGAGGTGATAGCACTGAATATTATAAGCCAGAGTTGAAAAAGAGTACCCAAGTTTACAGATTAGAAATTATGCAGCATGTTTTCTTACTCTGATGATGACAGTCAAAATTTCAATAGTCAATTCTTTATATCAAGTTTTTAGCTAAATGTCACTATCCTGTTATATTGTCCCTTTTTAGTAAAAAAAAAAATAATCAGCCTTGAGACAATAATTTGCATACAGTAAAATTCATCCTTTTTTTGATTTTTATTTTTGACAAAAACTGTATATATTTAACATGCACATGTTTTGATATCTGTATATGTTGTGAAATGATTACCACAATCAAACTAACATATTCATCACCTCCCATAGTTACCATTTTTGTATGTGTGTGTGGTGAGAACACTTGATATCTACTCTTTCAGCAAATTTCAAGTATACAATACATTATTATTAACTATAGTCACCATGCTGTACATTAGGTCTCCATTCATCTTATAATTGAAAGTTTGTACCCTTTGATCAATATCTCCCCTTTTCCCCCACACCCTCAGTCTCTGGTAACCACTATTCTACTCTCTGTTACTATGAGTTTGACATTTGGGGTTTTTTTTTAAAGATTCCATATATAAGTCGGATCATGTAATATTCGTCTTTTTGTGTCTGGCATATTTCACTTAGTATAATATCCTCCAGATTCATCCATGTTATCACAAATGGCAGGATTTCTGCCTTCTTTAAGGCAGATAAAATTTACCCTTTTTAAGTGTACAGTTCCACAAGTTTTGACAAATGTATTGATCGGTAAAGAATATTTCCACCACCCCTGAAAGTTCCTCATGCCCGTATACAATCTCCTCCTCCCACTTCCAGCTTCTGGCAACCATTGATCTGATTTCTGTCCCTATAGTTTTGCCTTTTCCAGGTTTTCACATCTTTTGTGTAAATACTGAGAAGTGGGATTTCTAGGTCATCTGTTAAAATGTGTGTTCAACTTTACAACTAACAAATTGTTTTCCAAAATGGATGTACCATTTTACATTTCCATCAGCAATGTATCGCAGTTTCAGATTTTCTGCCTCCTTCCAGCAGTTAGGATCGTCATGGTTTGAAAAAATATGTCAGACATTTTATTAGATGTAGCAGTGGCGCTTACTGTGGGTTTTAATTGACAGTTCCCTAAGGACTAACAATGTTGAACACCTTTTCCTATGCTTATTTGCCATCTGAATATCTATGTTGATGAAATGTCTGTTCAAATCTTTCTCCCGTTTTAAAATTTGGGGTTTTTTTTTTGTCTTTTTATTATTGAGTTGTAAGACATTTTATATACTCTGGATAGAAGTCCTTCATCAGCTACATGTTTTGAAAGATTTTCCCTCAGTTTATAATTTGTCTTTTTTCTTTTAACATTTTGAAGAGCAAGTTTCTAAAAACTTTGATAAAATCCAAGTCATCACTGTTTTTCTTTGATGGCTAGTGTCTTTGTTTCCTTTTAAGGAAATCTTTGCCTAATAAAGGTCACAAAGATTTTCTTTCATATATTTCTCTATAGATTTTATAGTTAGCTCTTAATTCATTTTGAGAAAATTTTTGTATAGGTACAAAGTATGGGTCAAGGTTTATGTTTTTTTCTTCCGTTCCCTCCCTTGCTTTTTTTTGCATATGGGTGCCCAGATGTTTCAGCATAATTTGTTGAAAAGTTATCCTTTTCCCATTTGAATCAACTTGGCACCTTTGTCAATTATCAATTGACTATATATATGTGGGTCTCTTTCTGTACTTTATTCTGTTCCATTGATCTGCAGATCTAATTGCATGCAAATACCAAACTGTTTCGCTTACTACAGCTTTATAGTGAGTCTTGAAATCAACTGGTATAAGCCCTCCATCTTTGTTCTTTTCCCTTGCTTTCCACATGAATTTGTCAATTTCCATGTTTAAATAGTCTGCTGGAATTATTGGAGTTGCACTAAATCTATAGGTAAATCTGGGGAGATTTGACATCTTAACAATATTTAATATTCCAATCAATAAATATAGTATATCTCTATATTTGGTTTGGTCTTCTTTAATTTCCCTCAGCAATATCTTGTATTTTTCAGTGTAAAAATCCAGCATGTTTTGTTAAATCTATCCCTCTTATTTCATGGTTTTTGATGCTACTGTAGATGGTATTTTTTAAAATTTAAATTTTTTCATTGCTACTATGGAGAAATAGAAACATAATTAGTTTTTGTATATTGTCCTATGAATTTGCTGAACTCAGTTTTGTAGATTCTTTGAGATTTTCTACATAGATGATCATGTTGTCTGTGACTAAGGTTGGTTTACATCTACCATTTTGCAATTAGTTTTCTTTGTCTGTTCTCCCCTCACCTCATATTATAGTTTTCTGTTGATTTAACTGAGTATTCATTTATGGTTCCATTCTATTTCCACTATTTGCTTAATAATTTGCCTTTTTAAAAATGTAGTGATTGCTTTAGAATTCATAATATACATACTTAGCTTATAACAGTTTTCCTCCAAAAACATCATATCACTTGGGATGTACAGTGTTAGAAATTTACGACAGTATAGTTCCATTTCATCCTCCCCATTCTTGGTGCTGTTATAACGATTTACTTCTACATATGTTTAAATGTTACAATATATTGCTACTATTTTTAGAGTAGAGGATGGCAAACATTCTTTTTTAAAGACCAGCTAGTGAATATTTCAGGCGTTTTGGGTCACATATGGTTTCTGTCATATATTCTTTTTACAATCCTTTAAAAATGTAAAAACCAGTTCGACTCACAGGCTATACATAAACAGGCCATGGGTCAAATTCAGCTGATGGACTATAATTTGTTGATCCTTGCTTTACATAGTCAATTATATATAGAGACAGATTAAAAATAAAGAAGTTTCTTTATACTTACCAACATTTCCCCCATATTTGATGTTCCTTATTTCTTCGTGTAGATCCAGATTTCCATCTGGTATTATACTGCCTCTGACTAAACAACTTCCTTTAATGTTCTTGTGGCACAGGTCTGCTTGCAAAGAATTCTCTCACTTGTGTTTACTGAAACATCTTTATTTCCCCTTAATTTTCTCTAGGTATAGAATTCTGAGTTGACAGTCTCTTTATTTCAGTATTTTAAAGATGTTCGTACATTGTCTTGCAACTTGTCCAGTTTCTGATGAGAAGTCTGCTGTAATTTTGATCTTTGTTTCTCTGCAAGATTTCTTTTCCCTCTGGCTGCCTTCAAGATTTTATCTTAGTCTTTTAGCAGTTTGAATATGAAGTCCACTTGGGCACGTGTCTGTGTTTTATCCTATTTGTCCTCTTGAATTTGAGCTCTTTTGTCTTAACTTTGGAACATATTCAACTTTGTATCTTCAAAATTTCCTTCTCTGTAGTTCTCACTCTCCTTCCTCTTTCCAGGACTCCAATTACACATAAATGGGACCATTTTATATTGTGCCACAATTCTTGGATACCCCACTCGGTTTTTTAACTCCACTTTTGTTGTCCTCTGTTTTTCACTCTGGATAATTTCTAATGATCTATCTTCACGTTCACTGATTGTTTCCTTAGGTGTGTACCATCTGTTGATAAGCCATCAAAGGAATTCTTCATGTGTGATATTTTTTTCTAGTATATCTATTGAATCCTTTTCTGTGGTTTTCATCTCTCCTGAAATTCCCTACATGTTCACATATGTCATCTACCCTTTCCACTAGATCCTTAAACTTATTAATCATAGTTTTATTAGAATCTCTGTATAAATTTTCCAACATCTGTATCATCTCTGAGTCTAGTTCTGTCAACAGCTTTCCTTCTAGAAACTGTTTCCTCTTGAGGTTGTGTGTCTAGTAATTTTTTATTGAATCCTGGACATTGAGTGTAGTGCAGTAGAGACTGAGGTAAAAATATTTATCCTCATCTACTAACTAAATTGACTCAACTCCTCTATAACGATAGCTTCTATCCTATAGGGGATGATGTCTTTCATGTCTACCGCTTCTCCAGAAGCAGTGAATCTTTGGCTGAATTCCAGGGGAGAGTTTCTTGTCCCACCACAGTGGCTTAAGACTTTTGTTTTGTGTGAGAAAAGTGTCCAGGAAGTAAGCAGGATTTCGTCGGAGTGCAACCAAGAGAAGCTCTTTCACTTCTACTGATCTGCCCCTCCCCAACCCCCACAATCTTTCTCATGACCATGTAGTAGAAGTCTATGGAAAAGAGTTTGGAAGTGAGTAAAGATACTGTTTGTGTCTGGGACTCTCAAGGATGCTAAAATGTCTCACTTATCCACACTAGTCCTTTAAGAATTTGGTAAAATATTAGTTTTGTTTTCATATACTCTAATGGAGGCCCTGTCTTCTTTCTTTACTGTGAAAAAATTGAAACAACTTGTGTGTCCCATTTCTTTGCAAGAGCTTGTCACTCTGTGGAATTCAGTTTACCTAGTTGCCTCACAAACTCAACTCTGATAGGTTCAAGAAAGATATGATTTTGTAGAATATCTGGCTTTTGCTTATTGTTAGGATGGGGATGTTGTTCCTTTGGCTTTCTACATTGTCTTATAAGTAATTAAAGCACTTAAGTGATACCTTCTCCTTGCAGATATTCTGTCTTCTTTATTTCTCAGTTTTATGGTAGATAATAGTCCCTCTCAAGCTTTAGTCTGCATCTTATGCCTGTCATCTTTTATGGTATATCTCAACATATAGAGTCTATGGTGAATGAGGATAATGAGAAAAAGAGAAGGAAGATATATTCATACATAATATAGATATATATATGTAAAATTATTTTTGGATGCAATGGAGAAATAGGGCAATTGAAGAATAGATAATAAATAAATTACTCGCTACTGAAGCCACATGGGACACAGAGTAATTGCAATGACACCTTAACATTAACACCTTAGCGTTAACAGAAATTACAAAAATACAACTGGTTAGTTGATAGGTTGTGGCTGCTTACCCAAAGACTGGCCCAGCCTCTCATTTCTGTCACTACGATCTGGTCAAAGCTTTTCCCAAGACAAAATTTCTATCAGAGAAAGATGTATCTCAGGATATTGCTTCTTAATCTACAAAACAAATATATAAGATTAAATGCTTTCTAAGCTTTCTTGATATCTAAAGATCTAGAATACTGCCATTCTTTTATCAAATGAGATTCCTTTCTCTCTCTCATGTGACAATATTTATTATGTTCTAGCCAGCTTTGTAGGTACAAGTGATTCAACTGACAGCAATACTAGACACAGATCCTACTCCCATAGTTTATAGACTTTAATCAAATAATTACACAAGTATATTGTAAAAACTTGCATAAGTGGTATAGATTATATTATAGGGATCTAGATAGGAGGAAAAAGATCATTCTAGACAAACGGAAAGATTTGTGTAAAGATCCTATTTTATAATAGGTATGTGACTGAAATAGAAAATAGAGGGAAGAATGTGATATAATGAAGTCGGAGAGTCAGGCAAAGTCCAGATCATGCTCAGCTTAGGAATGTCAAGTCTTCATCTTAGAAGAAATGGGAAGCCTTTGAAGAGTTTCGTGAACAGGAGAGAAATAATCAGATTTGTGTGTTTTAAAAAGATCATCTTGGTTGTGATATGGAGAAATGATTGTCAGAAGTAAAGATAGATGTGGGAAAAACAGTAGGATCCTACAGTAGGGCAGGTGAAAGATGATATAACTTAGCTAAGGGCAGCAGCAGCAGGTATGGACAGAAGTGGTTGAATTTAAAAGATATTCGTAAAGTTAACACAACTTGATGATGAATTGGGCATGGGGAGGGAGGTACAAAAAATGATTCTTCTGTTTCTGCAGTTGGATAGATAGTGAAGTCAGTTACAAGGAATGCAAGACAAAAGAACAGATTGTTTTTATTTTTTAAGGGGGAGGGCTGAAGATCATATGTATAGTTTTAGACATGCTGATTTGGGGCTATGTTTGGAAGATACCAAGTAGAACAGAAATCTGGACTAGAGATAGAAACTTAAGAATCAAAGGCAAAAATAAAAACAAAGAATTAAAGGCAGATGATTGAAGCCTGAGTATGGATGAGATCTCCTAGGAGAGAGAATATTCTTCAGTTATTTAGAATAAAAAAATAGGTGCGGCCAACAGCCGAGTGGTTAAGTTGGCATGCTCCACTTCAGTGGCCCCCGGTTCGCCATTTCAGATCCTGGGCACGGACCTTCGCACTGCTCATCAAGCCATGCTGTGGTGGCATCCAAAACAGAAGAACTAGAATGACCTACAACTAGGATATATAACTATGCACTGGGGATTTGGGGAGGAAAAAAAAAGAGGAAGACTGGCAAGAGATGTTCCCTCAGGGCCAATCTTCCTCAAAAAAAGAAACAAAGAATAAATAAATAAAAAATAAAAAACCAAGTAATTTTAATATTGCAGAAAAGAACATATTTATTGTACCAAATTCTCATGAGTCTTCTGATGTCAAATAATAATCAGCATTTTAATGTATTATCTTAACTAACTATCATAATCACTTTATGGGGTAGGTACTACCATTATTCTCATGTTACATATATGTGAGGAAGCTAAGGCTTTGAGAAGTAATTTAACTTATCCAGGAGCCAGAGTTCAAACCTAGGGCTGATCTCCTAACCATTCTATTAGACTGTTTTTCTCAGTACATCTTATACTAAACCTCCCTCTCAGTAACAGTAACAACTATAGCAGTCAAAATCTTTTGAAGTCTTATTGTGTAGAGAGTAAACATTTCATATTTATAGTAATACTGTAGGAACAAATGATGACAGCTCTACTCTGATATAAACTACGAGGACAACAAAGATTTTAGGAATATCATATGAGTTTACTGGTTTGTCCAAATGACATAGAAATTAATCTCCTACTCAGTTATTTTAAATTGCTTCATGTTATATAACTGTGAAAAATTATCATCTTCAGCAATATGTCATCCAACAGTAATGTTTAGGAATTGGTTTCAGTTTTGACTCACAGGAAAAAACACTTCCTAGAAAGTCATCAATGTCAACAGATTTAGTTTTCTTGGGCTATATGAAAATCTAACTCAGTTTACTAGACTCAACAAGGATCACAGTCAGAGAAGAAGGAAAGCTTACTGAGTGGTAAAAATTTATAAATCAAGAGCATCCAGGAAAGGTTCTAAGTAGATAGCCTTGGGTATTATCATTTAATCAAGACATCTTGTTTTATGCCAATAGTCCTTTTGTTACACATGTGCTTTTATATTTGCAATTGTTGATATACTGAGATCCCTAGAAAGCATGAGAATGGGGCCAAATTAGGCAAATACAGGAACTTAATGAGTTAGATTTTTTTTTCTGCTGAGGAACATCTGTCCTGAGCTAACACCTGTTGCCAATCTTCCTCTATTTTGTATGTGGGTTGCCGCCACAGCTGCCGACGAGTGGTGTTAGGTCCACGCCTGGGAATCAAACCTGGGCCACCAAAGTGGAGCCTGCCAAACTTAACCTCTAGGCCATGGGGCCAGCCCCAATAAGTTGGATTTTAAAATGAAAGTATTGAGTAGAATAAGTGTTTCCACTATTAGCTTAAGGAATACTTTAGAATTGAGTGGAATGTGGAGGATACAATATCTCTGAAGAGAAGGAATGCTGGTTCTTTGATCAGATAGCAATTTTCAGTCTGGTATGAGAACACAAAAAGGTGATCCTTCTTCCCATATAGATGTGTATCTCTCAATATGACTGAAACAAACATTAGCACTGTCACTTTAGTAAATTGCAATGTAGCTATTTAGAGTCTAAACTTGCATGTAATTATAGCTTATGGATATAACACTGGTGATTCTTATTTTACTTAAGTTATTTGCAGCTGAAATGACATGTGTGCTCTAAGGATGATAGGCAACCTTACTAGAATGCCCTAAAACATGCTGTGTCAGAGATAAATTTAATTCCCTAAAGGATTAATGGCTAAAGTTGGATTTTTAGGTTGTAATATGCCTGACAAAAATAAGAAGGGTTATTATATCATATTTAGTATTCAAGATATATAAAGCATTTTATTATTATGAATTAAATACCCATCTGAATGACAAAGACATTTTGAGTCTTCAAGTCAGTCCATGGATTGGAAGGTCTTGGATAAGGTTCTCTAAACTTTTTTACGTCCAGACCCTGCATATAGACGGGGTCACATGCAAATTATCTTTTTTGATAAGCATTGATTCTATGAACTTAAGGCAAAAATCAAAGTGAGAACTGAGGTTTTTATTAGGGCCAGGACTGGAGTGGGGCAAGAGAAACACCTAGGGTCCAAAATTTAAGGAGGCACTCAGTACCAAGGTCAAGAAAGCACAGGGTTGGCACCTAAGAGCAAATACCTCCTTAAATTTTGCTACATAGGCACCTTGTTATCCCCATCCTGGTCCTGGCACTGGTTTTTATTTCTAAAAGTCTTTCAAGATTCAAGGCAATGCTAGTTTTACATTGTTTTGTTGTTGTTGCTCAAAAGCTAATAAAAATCAAGGAAATAATTTTAAGACTTTTTAATAAACAAGCACTGGATAAAAATTAAACAAGTAGGACAATACTAATAAATAGAGATCACAGCTAAATCTAAATAGTGATAACAAATTGCAAATACTTTCTTAGTGTTATTGTGTGATTGATGAATACACATTTGTTTATTTATATTCTCCTTTAGTCCTTAACTCTGAGTTAAATTGTCATTACTATTATTATTACCATTTTTACAGATAGGGAAACTAAAGCTTATAGATGTTAAATAATTTTCTTTAACTCCAAAGCCCAATTTCTTAATTGCTCTGCTTTGCTGCCTTACTTATTACAATCATTTGCCACTGGTGATCAGTCAACTATATCTCTACTATAGGTAGACATTTAAATGCCAACAGTTTACACAGATTCAGAATTCTTGTTAGAAAAACTGAGTTAATAAGCTTTAAATAGACTACTTTCATGCCAGCAGCCTTATAGCATGGTGCATTAAGAAAGGGAAAATGAAAATGTAAGAGAAAGAAAAGAGAGAAGGAAAAACCAAAAGATTATAAGAGATAAGATATGTTTTAGAGATCATGTCCCTTTTGTGGACTAGCATAATATAATAAAAATGGGGATTAGGACAGTATGCAAAGAGGTTGCTTCAAAGTGAACTCCAAAGAAAAAAAATAAAAGGTTTTGATCTATAGTGGAGGAAAAGACAGGAAAAAAGCTTACTGGAGAGGATAAAAAATGCTACTTTAGGTTCAATTTCATCTTTTTTAATTTAATAGGGGAAAAATACATTTCCTTTTTTCAGAAAAGAAGTACCAATAGTTATTTTTTTTTCTATTCACCTACTGTAGAAAAGAATATTGACATAAAGAGAAACATAGGGGAACCCTATAATGTTTAATTTTAAATAATACATGTTACCTTTAATTCATGTGGAAAGGAAAGACACTTGAACATAATCAAGATTATTAATTTCTGGAAAAGGTATGCTTCATGGAAAATTCTAAGAATGTGTTTTAAGAGACATAGTATTGTATTATTGGCACTGATTGCGATTTTCTAGTCCTTTTGGAGGAGCAGATCCTATAAAAGGTTCAGTGCTGTCCCACTCTCCCCCTTTTCCCCCAGGTCCTCAAACCTCCTTTAACCAAGTCAGGCTGAGACACCAGTAAGAACGACCTCACCTTGAGACCTGCTGAAGAGCGCCCTCTAGTGCTGTCTTGCAAATGAAATGTGCTCACAGCCATTTTGTTCATGAATTGTTTTGCTTATACCGGACTTGAGGTTTCCTTTGGAACCTTAGCCAAGAGAGAAAGATAAGTGATGCTTTAGAACAATTTTCTGGCTTGTAATGCCATCTAAGTAAGATTATCACAATATATTAAAGAGTGAAGTTTTCTTTTTAACTTTTATGAAATGAGGTACATCTATTTTTAAAATAACATGCTTTTGTTGAAAGGCTAGTTTTTAAAGAAAATAATTTGGAAAAATTTTAGTGTGCTTCTTAGTACCTAGAAAAACAGCACTCTTTTTCTCAGGAAAAAGTTAGCAGTGACAATAATCGCCTCTCTCACCTATCAATCTCTGGAAAATTATCCACTCAGGCTGGTGGTATCCTAAGAAAATTTTTTAAAAACTTATTTGTGTTGAACTTTTTATTTCTGGTAACATATAGTAAAAATTTTGTTCATGCTTAATCAAAATCCAAAAGGGATAACATAGAAAAACAAATTACCTGACTATAAGGTGTGTTTTAAATTCCAGGAAGAAGAAAACCTGAGATATTCCAAAAGGCAGCATTAAATACTAGTAATATATTCCCTTAAACAGTTTTGACACTAGCACAAAGAAATTTAAAGGGGTGAAGGAAATTATGTTTTCATTGCTTAATATACGCCAAGGAATTTGAACCACGAGACCGGTAACTCCATAAACTACCACTTTATCTTGGGTGTAATTTTTTCCCTTTTAAAAGAGCCTATGCACAATGAATTAAAGCCAGAGCATGAGAAAGATTAGGAAAAGCCAAATCCTCAAAAAGGACTAATAAGCATGTTAACGCATGTATATGTGTGTGTGATATATTTGTGTATGTATGCATGTTTATGTATTGCTGTCATTCTCTTTAATAATTAAAGTGAGGATCAGTCAGACACTTGGCCCAGAACATGGGTAAATATAAGATCTTTGAAGTTGTGTTCTGATAAATGAGGAAACTAAGAACACTAACAGAAGAATTAGAATTCACGGATCTAAGTTTTATTTTATTTTCTAGTTTAGTTTTTCTTTTGTGGGGGGAGGTACATTAGTCTGCATTGTACACATTAAACAATGCATGAAAAAGTGATTAAACAAAATATGTTAAAACCACTCCAAAAATATAAGAGGTACAAATAAAAGGTGACATGTCCTAATGTTTCCAGAATAGGACAACGTTTAGAGATGAAATATCCTTGAAATATGGCCTTCAAGTACTTGTGTTATTTAAATCCTTGAATGGTGTCCAAATAGAAGAGGGGCTTTAGCAAATCAATGACAACAGTAGAGAGAGAAATGGGTATAAAAAACTCTGGGTTCTATTTCCATCCCTGACTCACCATTGACCTTGACAAAGTCAGTGATCTTCACTGTGATTCAGCTTCTCCATCAAACAGGGGCAGTAACTCTTGCCAGAAACGGCACAGGGGTGTTGATAATGCGAGGATTAGTGTGATAACGTACAGAGCTTAGAGAAATTTTACTGTGCTGTGAACACTTTCGGAAAAGATGATGTTCTTTTGCTACCCAACAAAAGCTTAAGAAGATAATAGATATATAAAACATTAGGTTAAATTTTGCTCAACATCTTCATTTCCATTTAGCTTGATGGTCTCTTCAATGCACTATTTTTATTACCTGTTATTTGTTACTATTTTTATGTCCAGGAATTTCTAATTCCCCTTCTATCTTATTTGCCTTTTAGTCTTCTATTTACACAAAACAGTGATTTATTCTTGTCTAGAGTTTCTTCCTTCCCTCATTCTGTTTATATATGTAAATACTTGGCTATTTTTCTTCTACCCCTTATTTCTATGTTGTTGAACTATAACAAAAAGCAACCATAACGATGATACCAGCACTTAATATATGTGAAAGTACTTTGTCACAACTATAATCTCATTTCATATATTTAGTCAAGTTAATTTCAATCAGGAAAATTATTGATAATTTTTATATCCTACTTATAAGCCCCAAACAGGTAAGTTCAATAGCAGGAAAATGTTCACCCTGTCCCTTTGAAAGAGGAAATAATCACTGGACATAATAAATCAACAATAAACTTTATTATAATTTTTCATAGATTTCCTGGCAAATAATAAGACAGATATTTCAGAAAATTTTCCAACTTATGAAATATATATTTATCCCGATTTATAGAATGAGATGTCTTGCATTTATATTTTATACAACCTTAGAGTAAGAAAAATAAAAATGTTTCACAATTCTTCTATTTTTAACTCTTACTTTTGGTTGGATAACAGTAGAAATCACTTATATATAAAATATGGGATCGGCTACCTCATTGTGCTCTTGGAATGATTAATTATGCTTTTACATCAGAACAAAGGCTATGTGAACATATGGTATTATTACTCTAATACAGGTAATTCATTGTAGTATGAAACAGTCATATATAGACCAAACAATAATCACTTACTATATACCATAAAATAAAACCCCCCTGAAAAATGGAGAAATGCCTCCTTCTGTCCCTAATTAGTTTTTAAAAAAATGACACATAATAAATGGAAATATTCTAATTTATCACAGTTTAAGCATAGTCCTTGAATGGGGGATGGGAGTGAATGAACTCTGACAGTTATTTACATTGCCTGTGAGACCTTCTCTGTTAAAGGGCATTGTTTTCAAAGTTTGAAAAGGTGCATGCTCTCAGAAGGTCCTTTCAGGTAGGTGGTATGGCTAACAGAAAGCCATCCCTATATAGCACAAGGTTCTAAATGTAGATAAATTGTCTCTTCTTGGTCCACATCTCTATAAACATCTATCTCTATAAACATTCAAATCATGCACGCACACACAAACATACACATGCACACAGTTTTAGTAAAATAATACCCTGAGTATGACACAGACCTTTTTACTTCACAGAAGTGAGAAATACACTTATATCAATAGTTTTGATTTTTTTCAAAGCTGCTTTTTGGTTCCCTAGCATTAAATTCTATAAACCAGGGCTATCTAATTTTTTCATGGTGTATTTCAATAGACTAGAAAAGCTGGTAGTGGTGTTTAGGTTTGTCTTAAGGATTCAGATGGTATGTTTTCCAAACCTGGTTCCTGCGTAAGTGCAACAGTGTATTTTAATGTTTTTTATTCTTCCTCAACTAGTAAAGATAAAGCCATAAGCATTTAACAAATATCTAGCAGTGGTATTCTACTTACTACAGGGGGAATATTTGTGTTCTTCTTACCAAAAGTCTCATCTAGATTTGCCTGAGAAATAAAGCAGGTGAGAAGGTGGGTTTTATCACATGATATTACTAACAAAATGGTCTAATATGTTCATTGAATCTACCCCCCCCCACCATGATCACATTTGCCATATCCACTGCTTTAATATCATACTGCCTGCATGTACTTATGCATGCACAGACAGGGACCCAAATGCCTTGCATTACCTTGGAATAAAAGAACCTAGAAGGAAAGCAATTGTTTCCTCTTAAAAGGAGAGAATGAAATATACTGGGGCTCCAACCCACCATTTCCACATAACCACAGCTAACTCATTCCAAGGAAAATTTTATGTAGATTTTTCTATACAGAAATCTTTTTTCCATTGGATCACCCTACGAGTGCCTTTGTTCTCAAACAGTATGCTTTCCGTATGTGAAAATTTTGAGTAAAGCTCTGTTATGACCAGTCAGATTTAGGGAATCTAATTTTCTTAATCATCAGCACAAGTATACCTCTTTCTATGTGTCCTCTATGGAATTACACACACACACACACACACACACACACACACACACACACACACAGAATGTATTCTCTTCATAAAATGGACACTCATATAAAGCTAGACCACCATCTATCATATATTAGATGCAAGCAATCACATCCTTACAAAATATAGGTGTATCTTTATATAGTAAGAGTACTTATAGCATTATGCCTTGACACGCCTTTACACTGCTCCTCATGTGTTCAGACACACGTGTGCGCACACATACACATGCACAACTCCATTCCTATAAAGTCAAATTCATCTAACATTGCATAGTCTGGTTGGTATTTCTATATCTTTTCCTCCCTTAAATGTGACTAGCTATTTACACCTTAACAATTCTGGTACAGAGCTGATTTAGCATTTTTATTGGAATGTGAAAGCTCTTAAAAGAAGAAAAAAATCTAATCAGGCAGAAGAGATAGAAAACTTGCTGAATTTTCTCTCCCCCCTCCAAGACCCCCCTGAATCCTATCAAAAGCACATCTTCCATTCATTGCTTCCCGGTGTCATTATGACAAGCGGCTACAAATCAATAGCAGAGGGAAAGGCAGGACCAACCCGCACTCACCAAGTGATAAAGATTCACTCTCAGCCCCGATTTGCTAATAGCCCATAATAGCAGCCATTGGCGCCCTGCATTAAATCATACATTTCACTCTGCGTTTATTATGGGATTTTTAAAACTCCTCACCAAATTGGATTTTCTCGATGGTCTCTAATTTCCACATTTATCATTTAAAATTAAACTCCTCTGTGGAGAGGGGGAATATAGAAGGAGGAGAAGGTAGAGCGAGGCCAGAGAGTACTGTATTTTTTCTTCTCACCCTCCTTTTTTTTATGAAAACCCATAAATAATACCAGGTATCATAGGCACAAGCAGCAGGATTTTTATTTTTTAACTCTAAAAATTCTGGAAGTCAGGCTGGAATGGTTTATACATTCTGGTCTGTAAATGAAGATGATAATTCAAGAGAATAGAATATATATACATAAAGCAGGTTTTAAACAAAAGCAATTTGGCTACAAAAATTATCAGTAATGTTGCAAAGAAGGTGAATTGCAAAAGTAATGGAAAATAAGTTAATGTTACATTATGTAGATACTCCAAGGAGCTGTAAAGAGAGTGTTCAGCAAGTATAGAATTCTGGCTTTAAAAAAACTACATTTATCTTATTCCAAAGCTCAGTGACAAACAGACAAAAAGTAAAAAATTTTTTTATTGGTTTCTAATTATGTAACAGCTTGCTTTGTCCTCTATATATTCTTAGTTTGAAAATTTATTTTAAAATTTCATGGAATCCAGTGGCTAAAGCTGCTTTTTGGCTGCTGCAGCAAACCCCCAAACAAGTTCTTAAATCTCCCACAGATACCACTGAAACAATGGAATCAACCCTTGGGAACTTAAGTCACTATCAGTTTAAATACATATATTTTTGGATAAAACATTTTTTTATTCTTTGGGTATAAAAAATGAAGATTAAATTTCAGGTCTATAGCATAAAATGAAAGGCTATATTTTGTCAAGGCTGCATGGTTGGGACTTAGTATGACCTAGTTATAACTACAGTACTAGCAGGATCCAAAGACATCAGAAGAGAAATAATCAGACCATATTCAGAGATACTTGAAAAGGCTAGAGGTTTAATGAAATGTCGAATGGTCCTCTGATTTTTCTCCTTTTGGAGATTTCCTCAGCAATAAAGTTCATCTATATTATTTTCCTTAAGAAACAGAGTGTTTGAAGGAGTTAAACACTTCAGCCATTTTATAATAATATTTCATTTCATCTTTAAAGACCATCTTTTGTTTTGGAATTTTTTTCAGTGATTCTTTAAAAAAAAATCTACCATCGATTGTTGTGCCTTTTTAGTCATTTTTTTCCTCTTGGTAGAGAATTACCGTTGTATGTACCTCATTTCCCCCTTCTCCAATTCCATATAACTAAAGCCCCTCAATTTAATAAAGTTTTTTTTAAAGTAGCATACACACTGAAAAGTGCACAAATCAAAAATGTACTCCATGAATTTTCACTAACTGCACACACTGTGCAAACGGCATCCAGACCAAGAAGTGGAATGTTTTCCTAGTGTCCCGGAAGCCCTCCTTGTGCAGTCTCTGACAACTACCCCAAGAGTAGTCTCTAACTTGACTTCTCACGTCATAGATTAATTCTGTCTACTTGTAAACTTCACATAAATGGAATCATCCAGTATGTACTATTTTGTATCTAGACTTTTCACTCAAAATCATGTGAGATTAATTCACATTGGTGTATATAGTTGTGTTCGTTCATTCTTATTGCTATAGAGCAGGGGTAGGTAAACTATGGCAAGTGAGCCAAATCTGGCCTATTGCCTGTTTTTGTATGGTCTGTGAGCTAAAGAAGATTTTTACATTTTTAAACAGTTAAAAAAAATCAAAAGAAAGATAATATTCATGACATGAAAATTATATGAAATTCAAATTTCAGCGTCCATAAATAATGGGTTTTTGGAAACACAGTCATACTCTTTTGTTTAAGTATTGTCTATGGCTGCTTTCATGTTACAATGACAGAGTTAAGTAGTTACAGTAGAAATTCTCGGCATACAAAGTCTACAATATTTACTATCTGAATATTTATTAGAATATTTATTACTATTACAGAAAAAGTTTGCGGACTTCTCCTGTAAAGTGTTTCACTGTGTGACTACACCACAATACATTTGTCCATTCTACTGTTGAAAGATATTTGGGCTGTTTCTGGTATTGGGCTAATATAAACATATGCTATAAACATTCTAGAACATGTCTTTGGTGAACATATACACATCTAGCAGTGGAACTGCTGAGTGTAGGGTATACATATGTTGTTCACTTTTGTAGTTGTTGACAAACAGTTTTCCATAGTGCCTGTTATCAATTTACATTCCTACCTGTGGTGCATAAGAATTCTAATTGCTCTTTTTCTTGTCAGCTTTTGGTATTTTGCTATTCTTGTTGTTTTGATATGTATTTCCCTTATGTCTAATAAGGCTGAGTCTCAAAGATATGAAGATTGTACATTCATTTGTATTTTTTATATAGATTAATATGTAATTTGTGAATAATGACAGTTTATTTCATTCTTTCCAATGTTTACGCTCTTGATTTCGGTTTCTCGTCTTATTGTATAGCTGGGACCTCCAGTACAATGTTGAATAGAAGTGATGATAGCGGGCATCTTTGTCTTGTTTTGACTTCTGCTGTAAATTTTTGTAGATCCTCTTTTTTTTTTTTAAGATTTTATTTTTCCTTTTTCTCCCAAAGCCCCCTGGTACATAGTTGTGTATTTTTAGTTGTGGGTCCTTCTAGTTGTGGCATGTGGGATGCTGCCTCAGCGTGGCTTGAAGAGCGGTGCCACGTCTGCACCCAGGATTCGAACTGGTGAAACCCTGGGCCACCAATGCAGAGCGTATGAACTTAACCACTTGGTCACGGGGCCAGCCCCTATAGATCTTCTTAATCAGGTTAAGAAAGTTCCTTTTGATTCCTAGTTTTTATTATGAATGGGTATTAAATATTATCAAAGACAAAAAATCTGCCATCATGATCATGTGATTCTTTTTTCTTTTCTGTTAATATGAAGAATTACATTGATATTTCTGAAATACTAAACCACCCATGCATTCCAGCAATAAACTCCACTTGGTCATAATTTATAATAATTTCTATATACTGCTGGATTCAATTTGCTGGCATTTTGCTTAGGATTTTTATATCTGTTCGTGAGAAAGATCAGTTTTTAATTTTCTTTGCTTGTAGTAACCTTGTTTGTTTTTGATATCACTTTCCTTGCATTTTTAAAAAGTCCCTGGTGAAATCACAAGAGTTATTTCGTTGAATTGCAAGTTTTAGCGGAAATTGAAGCTGTTCTACCTTTATAACAATGGCATAGGGAGCTCTGATACTTATGGGTTTTTCTCACTCTGCTAAGTTCCCTAAATTTCAAGGCTCACTATTCCCCAGTACTTGCTTCTACTATACAAACTTTTGAAGATTCTTCTAAATTTTCCAAATTTTATTTTACTTCTTCCTCTGGTGAATTCGAGAGTCCACAGTAAGGGTTTGTTTTTTGGTCAATGATTACCTATTAGGCTGCCACTAACTGCAAGAATGGGTATTGTGGGAAGTTATAAGAAGTAGAAGATGTATTCTTTGCCCTCAATGAGTTTATAATGCAGTCAGCTAAATCAGTCCCTTTTAAAAATTATAAATCAATAATGAAATCATCCTTAATTAAATTTCTTAATTCAAATTCATGAAGCTTTTAAAAAATGACTTCTATTATAATGGGGAAAGCAAGCTAATGAAAGGAAAATTGAAAATAAAGGAAAGCAGAAAGAAGGTACAAAATCACTTGTAGTTCCACCAACAAATAGAACCATTACTAACATTTGGATTTTGTTGTACATTAGATAATCTTCCATGTGTTCATTCTCATATTTTCTTTATAGTAGATACCTCCATAGCTGGTATTTCCTATTAATTTCATCTGTGCATACCTTTCCATTTTATGTAGTATTCTCCCCCCCCAAAATTTTTAAGATAAATTTAGAAAATAGCTTCTATAGTTTGTATCATTACAAAACAAACATAAAGATTAGAAAAATTTTTGAATGTGTGAAATGAAATGCTTTTCTCTTTCTTAACCAATCAGATATGACACTATATCATGGTTCCCAACTCAGAAAACTTCTATTACACACTTGGTAGGTCCTGTATCTTGGCACATCTCTACCTTTAAACTATCCTGATCTCTGATACACAACAAATTAAGACTTGTGCAAAAAATACTTTCAAATATGCTGAATAACACTGAAGAGGACTGCTATCCTAGAGATGATTTAGAATAGTGGTTAAGGGCAGAGGCTGTGGTGCTAGATTGTCCGAGTGTAAAACCATCACTCACAAAGTACATAACCTTGGTCAAGTTACTTACATTCTCTGTGCCTCAGTTACTCATCTGTAAAATGGGAGAAATAATGGTAAAGACCTCACATAGCTGTTGTAAGGATTGAATAAGTTGAGACACACTTATTGAGTAGTGTTAGGCACACAAGTAGGTGCTCAGTCAGTGTTGGTTTTTCATGGGCAAAGTAAAGGCTGCCCATTTTAAATATACACACAGAGCTAGACTTCCTGTTTTCATATTAAAAGACCTCCTTCAATCATCCCCTGTCAACAACCTCTTCTCTTCAATCCTGACGACTGTGTCTTTTTAAACTTAGTTCATTTTCATACTTGCTGCCTTCTGTCTACTGCCATATACCCTGTGTCTTCTTCCTGAAGTAATGAAAAAGTCCTCCACTTTTAAAACTTATTTCTAAAAGCTTACTTTTATTATGAGTCTCTATCTAAGCTAACACCACTCGACGTAAATGGATAAAAGCCGGAATTGAAGAAATGAAGACAAGGGACATGTTAAAATTGGTAGCATTGTCAGGGGTTTCCTAGTTTTCTCTTGTTTGGCTAATCTAGAACTCACAGAGTACAGCCTATATGTGTGCAATTAAAGAGCTGGCAATAAAAGCATATCAGTCTGAGTTATGCAATTAAATATGGAAGAAATTAAAATAAACTTAAAAAATCAGACTGAGGGCAAGAAAGAATTTTAATAAAAGTTCAAAATATCAATCCCAAACAGTTTTTTTGAGGTTGTGATGCTTTATGTCATTACAAGAAACTGGAGAGATTAGAATGAACTGATTTAAGGTTTAAAATCTGAGCCTGGAGGCTTTCTTTAATCTGCATGCAAGACTGTTTAACATTGTAGCAGTTACCATTTAAGCAGTACACAGTATGTGTTTCTTTATTAAACGGCACTGTCGTTTTGTAAAACATTAATTTTAAAAGGTTCAGATACAGTCAAGATTATGGGTTCTCTCAGGATGTCTATGTAAAAGAAGGAGTTATAATACGATAGGGAAGCTTTAATTATGGGCACTCTGAGTACCAGCTTTAGAGAATCACTCTTTCTGTGGACTCCACATAGTGGCTTCACCTTTTTTTACTGTTTCAGAATCTGAAGCATCCTGTGGTTTATTGATTCTTGTAACCATACACTCTGCCACTAATGTTCATCACTTGTTTTTCTCCGGACTCCTGTCTCTTGAGGAGAATGAAAGGTGGAAAATGTGACACAATAGTCTCAAATTGGATGACTCAGTTTAAATACCAAACAAGAAAAAAGTGTCTTAAACCACCGCTAGAAATATTTTCCTTTCAAATGCAACTGATCTTGAAACCCAGTTCAGTCGAGCAAATAGGTAAAGAATTACTGACGTAGGTATTTTCAGAACTACTATGGCATGTCAGAGGATCAGTCTTCTATAAGAAGACAAAAAACTTTCAGTTCTTTAGTTTTTATGATATTTGCTGATCTTGTTCAAATTTAATTTTATCCAGTAGCAATCAATTCTCACCACCCTAAATATTACCACTTAGATTGTAATCCTTTCCTAGCCTTTAAGTTAGCCTTTTAATTAAATATTTACAGAAATGTTCTTTCTTTGACATAAAATTCTCTTTACACACTATACATCTTTTATAAGCCATTTTTGCCTCAAGTCAATGATCTACAAATTCTGTCCTCTACCCCTAAATCTACTTATAGAATTTATTTCTATTACAATTCTATTCTTTCCATTACTTCATTGGTTTTATAAACTTGGTGGGTTTTAACATTTTTAAGATATACATACTCACACATTCCTCATAATACCACCCCGAAGTACAAGAGGCAGTATGGCATTTCCGTTAACCAAGAGTGGAAGCAATGAAGTAAGATTGCCTGGTTTCGAATCCAAGCTCTGCCACTCGGTGGGTGTGTGGCTGTGGGTGATTTACTGAACCACATTGTGTTTCACTTTCCTCATTAGTAAAATGGTAGATAATTATGACCCTATTTCATAGTGTTTTGGTAAGAATTAAAGAAATAAATATTTTAAAAATATAGTATAATATTTATTAATGTTATTATGTGTAAATATAATTAATATATTACATTATTATTTCACTAAGGTTCTCCAAATTATAAAGGAAGAATCACTAATAGGCCTCTTCTCTTCTCCACAGCCAAAGTGATCCGTTTAAAACATAAGATATGTCAGGTTTCTCCTTTGATCAAAATCCTTTGGCGGCTTCCTGTCTCATTCAAAGGCAAAGCCAAAGTCCCTACTCACCTCAAGTAGGCCTTACTTGATCTGACCACCCCCACTCCCACCCCTCTGACCTCATTTTCCTACTGTTCTTCATCTCTTTCCCTCTACTCCAGCCTCCACTGGTCTCCTTGTGGTTCCTGGAATGTGTCAAGTACACTCTCACTTGCAGTGCCCTGTAACTGCTGCTCCCTCTAGCTGAAATATTCTTTCCCACAGTCATAAGCCTCTCCCTCTTACTTATTTTGGGTGCCATTCCTGATCACCCATTATAAAAGAGCAATCACTCCCAGCCCTTGGCACTGTCTATCTCCTTTACCTTGATTTTTTTCTATAGCACTTATCACCACCTAACATAAATAACACAGACTTGTCTGTTGGTGATAGAATATACAGGGCTTAAACAAATGTGATTGCTGATTGAAAATTTGTCCTATTACCTTATTGGGCAGGCTCGGAAAACCACGATATTTATTAACAAAGTATTTCAATTCTTAAGGTGAATCAGGTAGAGTCCTCATAGAATCAGATTCTATATAATATATTACATCAAATGGGTCTGATCTTTTCTTATAGGAATTAAAAAGGATCTTTTGTGTATATGTTTAAGGCTTATGCATTGTCAAATTAGTTGCTCTTTCAATAGATAACAAACACTTGATACAAATACCTGTCCTGGTAGTGAACTTCAAAAAAGAGAGCTTTCTATGTGAGGAAGCCTAGAGATAAAAGAGAAAAGAGAACTGACTTCTACAGGAGGATCCTGAAAACGTTATCTCCCACTTTTTGAAAAAAACCTCTTTGAGGGTTTTTATAGGCATAGAGACTTGGTTTAAGTCTCTCCTGTGTGCCCTTTGACTTAGAAAAGGGATCAATTGAAATAAAGAAATGTTTCTTGCTTCTCATTAACAAAACATTAGACTAGCACCACATCTAGGAAAGTGGGAAGAGAGAGGCATTGGAACATAGATAAAGAGAGATAAAAAGCAAAAGAGAAGAAATAGTTGTAAGGCTCTCAGTCTGTGGGCTCCACAAGTACTCAGTACCTCAAATATAGGGGTTTAAACTGAACATTTATTAGCCAGCTACACAGCTACACACTGATTAATTTT